TCTAAATCATTTTTAGTGCATTTAGAATATGGAAAAATAGCAGACTTTTTATTTTAGAGTTGTCACTCCAAAAGTGGTGGGCAAATTTTTTGAGGCAGACCCCTCCCCACTCCTACAGGACTCCACGAAGGACGCCTTTTGCTCAAGGCCCGAAGAGTGAGCTGAGTTAGGGTTGAGTTCTCTGAGACAAGGGAATGCTACAATATAGTGACTTTTTCAAAGGAGGAAATAAATAAGAAAGTCAGTGGAATAAATGCCTAATTCTGGTCCTCAATTAGTGACACAAAAGCAGCATATTTTTTTAGGAAAGACAAAAGATTATTTACAGTTGCATGGAAGCACTGGCAAATAAAAAGGTCAATGCGGTCTATTGTAGGGTTTTTTATAAGAAGGATTGTTCCCTTTTTCATTCAGATAGTTATCTAATTTTTATTTGAGAATTTAGGAGATATAAGGTTGTCGGAATGATTAAGAAAATCACGAAAAGCAGTTTATGAATTTCACTTCATGCAATTATGTGAACTTCTTTTACTGTTCAAAAAATGGCGAAGATTGTTTCTGATTTTATATTTATATGAACACTAAAAATAGTAAAAAGGACGACAACTTAAAAATGGAGACGAAAATTGCGCAATTCCATTTCTGGCAAATTAAAACTTTACAAATGGTAAAAATATGATTTGATGGTACAAATTTCCCTTTTAAAAATTTGTTTTCTGCTAATTTATCAAAATTGTAGATCTTTTAGGAATTACACATATAAAAGCTAAACTTTGGAGGGTGAAAGAAGATGATGCTTTTGGGTAGAGCTATAGATCCTTTCACACCTTTAAAATCGATTATTTTCGCCGGTCTACCCATTCATTCTTTCACTAAGGGGAATCCCAACACTCATTGGCTCACTCGGGAGAATTCATCCGTTTATTGGTTTACTTCTGGGAATCCCCTTTCTCATTGGTTCATTCAGGTGAATCATTTTACTCATTGGTTCATTCGGGAGCCTCCTCTCACTCATTGGCTAAATCACGCGAATTCACTCACCCATCCATTTGTCAAACTGGAGGAAAATTTAAACTGCAGAAATTTGTAAAAGAGTAAGACGAAAATGGCACAACTTTCATTTTGCAAACTTTTTTTTGCAGTTGTTCTCCTCGATTCTCGAGAAAGTGGATGGGAGTGTTGGACCAAAAATACTGCCTCAGACATTGGCGTAAGTGGGTTTTCTTGTACCTTCAGCCTCCTCTTTTTCTCTCCTTTCTTTTTCTTCCCTTTTCTTCAAAAAGGCCCTGTAAAAGTGAACAAGTAAACGTACAAAACCAAGGACTCTTAGACCCGATCCAAATGACGAGCGTTCTTTTCGACTAATTTAACTGCAAATATGGGAAGTGAATGAAGAAAAATAGCCTTTACAACTAAGTTGAAGTCGTCCATTGGTTTTGTTGATCGCATCCACAGTAAACAAGTTTTCTATAAACTGATCTGCTAGATCAGGAATGACAATCAAGGAGTGACCCACCTCAGAAGATATGGGGATAAGAAGCTTAGATGTTGACTCCTTACAACAGCTGAGTATTCCACAATCACTCTAATCAACGTGACACATGCAAATTTTGTTCATTTCTTCATATCTAAGAAGGCGAAAACACCTTTTGCATCCATTGGAAAGTAGTCACAACGGCATCAGCTACGGTAATTCATACAACTCTGGAAATTTAAAGTGATTTCTAGACAAGAGGCTTGAAAGTCAAATTAAAAAATTAGGGGTAATATCGAACAATGATAATTTGTCTGCCTTGAAGCTTGCTTTGATATGGGACGGGAATGCTGTAGCCAAGGTAAGTGTCAACTAATGATACGATGCAGCTAATTATGACGTCTTTTGTCAAAACGACCCTCTCATACCCACCGCTTTAGCAACCTTCCATTGCTGTGTTCATCAAAAATGGGCAGCTGTCTCGGTAGTTCCTTAAAACTACGTCTATTCAACATCCCAAATAAAGAAAGATTTGACAAACTCCTGCGTATCTCGGTCAAGTAGACAACCTTGGATAAGAGCATAATGTGTAGTATGACCGCTCACAAAAGTGAATGACTGACACGCTGTGCTGTAATGTGATGAGTTAGAAAGCACTAACATATAGGAGGGCCACTGACAAGTCCACTGCAGGCGATTTTTTAAAGGTCGACACGACTCGACCGAAGGCCTTACGACTCCTCCGTGTCTAAGTGTCTCGACGTCCTTTGCAGCGCTGCACCGCGACGTGCTATAAATTGATGTGGTGGAAGTCATTCATAATTTCAGGCAGGTCCTCTCTAGTTAAAGTTTTGTGCATTCATTCACAAGGGACTTCGTTGACCGTCACATGGCATTGCCAACATGCATGCTCGCGTGCCTGGATGTGGGCACCGAAGCACCTACATACACACACACATGCCCACTGGCACTGTTACCTCCTATTTTGGTAAGCGGTGTACCAAGAGTGACCTGGACTGCCCCTTGCACAACATGAAGGCCGACTGTCAGTAATTAATAGGGGCAGATTGCATGCAGTGTCACCACATTAGCATCTCTTTTGGTGGGGAGAAGGCAAGGATGGGGAAATTAAAGGCCCCGATTTGCCTCAGAAGGCGTTCTTAACGTCGAATCAAGGTAGTCAAACACACCTCCTAAAAACTAGTACTGATCAAACAATTAACAACCAAAATTAGCATCCGAAAGAAATTCTATTGGCTCTGGAAAGAGGTATTTAGGGTTAACTTCATGATCTAGTTTCCTCTCAACAACTAACACACCCCTCCGATGACCTCCATAAAAATTATGTTGAGCTCAATGAGAATCGGTAGATGGGAACAGGACACAGACGCAGTAACTGGAGCACTAATGATTAGGAGAGTACCCACCTCTCTAACTAATCAGGTCTACAAGGTAAACATCGCACCCATTTCAAAACATTTAAAAAAATCTCATTCCCCTCTTTAAATCATCGTCGCTGCCACCTAAGTCGAGTTCTGCCTTCCCGATGACTTGACAACTCTGAAAATTTGATATTTAATCTCATACCTTCTTGTTATCCGCCATTTTTCTGTACTTGCTAAAATGGGGTAATCACTTGTTAAAAAATCTCTTATTCCAGCCAGCAGTAGCGTTTGTTCATCGAATGTGTAAAGTGACATGTCAAGGTGAATAGGTGTCAAGGGCAGCTATCCGTGCTTAGCATTCTGACTTCTCTATCCAAAAAAATTCGTCTTTCTTTGCAGCGTAAAGTGAACTCAAACTTTTGTTACCCTTTTTTCATGTTGTTATGGATGCCAGTCAAGGAGTGGAAATTGGACCAGTCCAATTGAGGCAATGGACAGATCTTGACCTTGAAAAGGGCCTCCTATTGAAATTGGAGGGGGGAGGTTTAAAACCTATAAACAAATAACTTTGAACTCTTTACAGGTAAAGCCAACCATGACAAATCATCGTATCACAGAACAAAAATAAGATCTTGACATGATGACAATTTGCTGATAAATTGACCGGGAGAAGGGAAACGTCAAAGATGAACGTCAACACCTAAATATTAAAGTAGTAAAGATAAGATATTTTAGACTAAACAATCCAATAAACTTGTTACTTTTGGACCTTCATATTAAAAAAGGAAAAAATTTAACCCTGAGTTGCCTAATATTTTTAGAGGTGGCGATAAACTAAAGCATGGCTTTTCTAAGACGTGGCAACTCAAATGTCACAAGTGAAAAGCTAATCACTGTCAAAACTTTAGCGACTACTTCAAAGATCATTAGTATCTGTCAAAAAAGACTTCCGATTTCACGCCTGCTTCATCAAGAGGCATTCTACCATAGCACGTGGTAAGCACTGAAAAGTCCTGGCGAGTGATGGCATGCTCAGCCCCCTAGCTGCAGTAAGCTCTGCAACTAAATTGTGCGGACGTTTTCAAGACCCTCTACTGTACGTCTGTTGATGGTGATTTCCATTGCCTGGCTGATTCTGGCTGCCTGATTAAGGAAGAGCGAAAAATTCAAGAGGCTATTGCATACTGAGTACCAAGACAGCTTTCTCCCTTTGGCCAGTACATAACCTAGGGATGCTGCCCTTGATTAAAGAAAGCCTAGAAAAAGGGGGACCTTGACCAGCAGGATTGATGGGCAAAGTGAAGCCATCTCTCCCGGAACGCTTCAACCGTACAGGTACGGACTAAACACCGAAAGAAGCGTAGTATGGTATCAAGGAGCTAAAAGTCTTTTCCAGCCAAGAGCAATTAGCATCGAAATCAAGAAGTTATTCATATTTTCCCTCTCTACCTATCTTAGTGGCGTCAACAAAGTCGGCCAGGTGCAGGCTACAGTGTGTATGGTCTGTGCGAGAGCAGTTCCACCACAAAGAGGGATGAATTTTGGCTCTTCGGTCCACTAATCCCCCTGGTTCGAGCCCTCAGTGTTCATGTGCAAGTAAACTTCATGCTACGCAGCTGTACCGATCGTGAAATTGTCGACGGTCTCGGTGGCGCCTGCCGTGAGAATTTCGACGTCTTTCTGCAACAGGAGGCCTTGCGGAGTGATATGGATGTAGCCGATGTTCCACGTACTGATGTAGGTTTTTAGCAAATTACCGTGCACAAAAAATGCTTTTTTACCTTAAATTTGTGATGATGTGATTTTCGTGCAGAGGAGTGACCTGAAATTCGCCTACAGGTGTAACATTCCCACCCCCTTTCTCTCCCAAAGTTGAAACCCACCAGTGATTCACGCCCATCCCATTGCCTATTTTTGAAGACAGTTGATATTTTATTCAGCGATATGAAGTATAATTACATGGAAAAGGAAATGGCACTTCATCCAAAGGTGTAGGAGTTATTAAATGTTCACAGGGGTAAGTACGTCTACCACTTGTTTACTTCCACCCTAGGGTTACAACACCAGCCAGCCCCAGTGTCTTACATGAGACCAGGCAACTGATCGGAAGAGATGATAATCCATTCTAGCTCTTTAGAGTCACACAGGTTGATATTTCCGGGTAGTGAACAATCGAAGTTAATGCCACTTTCCAGAGAAGTGAATGAGTTGTCTAAGAGCCGCCTCTATGAAAAGTCATACGACGTGGAAGGGATTTGTAGGGTTAGGTTGGGATTACGACACTCCATCATTGTCAATCGCGTCAACGTACCAAACATACCCTGCCTCATCCCTTGTCACAGGAGCAAAAGTAAAGACAATTGACCTCCGTGAAATAACTTGCCTTTAAGCATTCATTTTTTCCACTCCAGCCATATTCACCTCAGCACTTTCCTCCTTAAAAGTACAGAAGTAGGCTTCCAAGGGCACGCCATTTCTCCCTTGGAATAATTCATAATCCTTTACTGATTAGACGGGCGCATGTGGCAAGTTCCACCTGCCCTTCTATGCAAAAATAAGCAACCTCAGTCCTAGCCACCTCTTTTTCGGCCTTGGTTTCATGCAGTAGAGGATTTTTCATTGTCCTGCAGGAATGTGACTTATCAACCCATCCTGACTATTTTTGGAAGGTTCTTCTTGCACTATCAAGCATCTTATCAAGAAAGTAGTTGCGTTGTTCTCGTTGTTCGCCCTCTAAAAGCGATTCTTAGCGACTAAGGGTTATTTTTCCTTCATAATCTACACAAAACAGACAGAGTCTTCTAAACACGAGGTGTTGTTTGCCCTGGACATGAGTATCTTGCAATATCTTTCTAGAATAAGGCTCCACTCTATCCATCTGTCCTGACTGTCCCTCTAGAAGTCCTTCTTTCACTTCTTCAAGCTGTATCCCACTGAGAAGATGGGATACTCGAACAGGAGATTCCCATTGAACAGTGCCGCCTGTCCACAAGTCACTGTACAAAGAAAAGAGGCCGAGTCTTTCAAGGCTGAGGTAGTATATGCTTAAGCAGTGCGATGGACGGTGAATAAAGTACCTGGGCATAAACAGCGAGGCTTGAAATGGAAAGAGCTACTCCTCAGCATAAGTTCGTCAGTCAAAAGTTTAAAGTGCGCAGCTTACTTTTATAATGCCTGAGAGAGCATTAAAGAAGCTTATGATCATCCATAAATGTGTGACAAATGGGTGATGCCCATCTTCTTAAGAGATTTCACGACTTTCCCGTGCCAAATGATTGTAGGCGTCACATAAAACATTGCACTAAAGAAGAAGATGAAGTCGATGATGAAGGTGTTTAAGCCATTTTTAGATGATTCGCTACACCGCCGCATATCGCGCCCATTCCAAGTGCTTTGATAAGCTTGACTTTCCGTAGTTTGAAGACCGATTTCAATTAGATTCCTGATGCACACAGGCTAAAATCGACTTTATGAGATTTGTACAACCCACACTGCAATGAGAGGCTTTAAAACAGTCTGAAGGGAGGTGTTAAAGGACGCAAGAAATCACCATGTCAATGGGCTGGTGCTCATGTTATGCAGGAATTTAACCAGGGCATTTGGAAAGTTCTTCCCTTTACTTTGCAACAATTCACTATTAGACAGGCGGATCAAAAAATGACATCAATTTTTTTCGATCTCGGGATATTTTGATCCATTCAGTGGTTTCTCCATACCAGATAAATGTTAACGTACTGACAGGAGCCTTACGGGGCATCCTTGCTGAAGTGATGGCATTTGACTATCAAGAAAGTATTGTTTAACCTAATCGTAGCAACTAGAGATTTAAAATGACGAGGGCAACCAAAAGCATCCAAAAATTTTCCTTTTTTCTTCTAAACGCAAGGTAAACATGGATCACGGATTCTCTATAGTACCGCTTGGAAGTGTTTTGGTAAGAAAAAGCAACCGCCAAATTTTTACATTTTCACCACAAAGGAACAGTAGACAGTTAAAAGATCAAAACAAACCAGTTGTTTTCCATATTTCTAAATTTTTAAAAGCGAGAATAAGCTTATATAATTCTTCTAATAATAAAGAAGCACTTTTAAGGGGTGACATTGTATGGGAGAGGGGGCGATGCCGAGGCGGAAATGGCGGGTTTGGCAGACTCCCCTTTCGGCACCTCAGCATGTGTGAGGTGTTTCTATAAGCTGTTGCTTGAAGTAATGCAAGGACGGAGGAAGACAAGGGTGATCAGAAAACTGACACCTCGCTATCAATACGAATATTCGAAGTCAGACGAGGTTTCACTCTTCTTGGAGCGAGTTAAGCACTTAAAGGCCAAGTGGTTACGAAAGCTCAACAGCGTGGTTTCCAGAAACCTTTCAAGTGTACAGTGGACAATTGCTATATCACCTCCAGGAAGTCGCGTCTTGCCGATTTTCGTCAAATTACAATGGAAATCATCTTATTCTATGACAAAGTGGCCAATTTGAAAACGCAGAAGTTGAGCTCCACCTCTTAATTTAAAGACAGCCAAATTCCGATATTTTAATCCTAATTTGAGGTAAAGAGTAAGAGGAACAAAATGTACATCTACAAATTTTTCTCCTTTCCTTTTTGTTCTTTTTTGATGAAAGGAAACAAGAAAACTTTTCTGTTCAATCGACCACGAAAATATCAAATTTACTCAGGCGTAAAGTCAAAACCGCTAGTGGGTGGTTGTGGTGCCGCGAAAGGAGATAAATCTTACCCAAAGGAGGTAAGGCATTTAATTTTACAGATTTATTCCTCCTCTGAGAGCTCTGCCTCTTAACTTTGCTTATCAATGACGCATTCAAAACAAGGGCAAGGAGTACAGTACCAAACGCTTAACAAGTAGATGATAGGTGGTATGTGTGGATAACCTAAGAGAGATTCGCATATCTGCCAGGCATATGTGCGGTTAAAGTGGCAAAAACACCATTTTCCTTCGTTTGACTTGCCCTGACAAAATTGGTACTAGTGTCACATATATGTGACGTTCTGACTTTCTCATCTAAGCCAAGCGACACAGGTGTGTGACATGTATTGTTAGTCTGTAAAAAGTTTGTTAAATTCCTCATTATAAAATAACTACAAATAAGGAATTTTTTTCGTCGCCCAACTTACCTAAATGTGAAATCAACGGATCATTCAATAACTTCCTCAGGGACGCCATTTCATGCATAACACCTGTTCCTTAAAAAAGAGAGTTTTAAAAGAAAACTGGAAAATTGTTTTAACCCTATCAATTTTCATTCTGTTTCACCTTTCTGAGTTTTTCTTTTTTTCTTGAGCTAGTCTGCAACGCGGTTAAGATTGACAAATATCACGTCAATGTGACAAACGGATCCTTTCCCAGGCTTTCTCCTAATTTCTGAACTATTTTTTAGAAAATAAAATAGGAAATGAGATATGTAAATAATAAATCTTTTGCATAATCTTTCATCTCTGAAATTCCTAGGTACCCATTTCTCTGCCTTTTAGTCGTTTAAGAAACTGGCGACAATCTCCTCCGATCGGAAGTGGAGCTCCACATATCCCTTAGAGGACACTGCAGTAACAAGTTGGTTAATTCGTTTTCGACCCCAGACTGAGCGGAAGGCAGTGACGACAGCAACAAAGCCACCAACCCAAGTATCCACTGGGTGGATGCGGCTGGCCATTCGTGATCACGGCGCCTGTCTAATGCTCGATCGTATTCGGATCTACTACCTCGCATGTCCAGCCTGGCAGGTGGGCCGATTTGAACAACTCTCTTTAGATATTTGTTTTAATCAACTTTTTTGAGTTGTCTCAATGCCTAGTGAGCATGGTATAGTAAGTCAGGTGATAGACTCTTGAATTGTTGACACACTTGGTACTTCCACTGGTACTATGCGTCGTCTGATTTGCGAGAAAAATGATGCTGTGTGGAAGGTTATGACTTCATTGTTAAAGCACTTCTCTTCTACCCACCACTTTCGCATCTTCTTGCTTAAAAGTTGTTAAAAGGACGACGTTGTCTTGGTATTCGTTGTGTGTGTGCCAGGTCCTTGAAATTACGCCTGCTTGAGGAAACACTGGGTTTTTCTAACGTTCACACTGGTAGAAGAGTAAATAGATTCCTCTACAGCTTCGTCGACACAGTAGCATTGGCTGAGCGTTCATTGTGTAGGGTAGTCAGTCACAGAAATCAATGACTGCTATCCCGTGTTGTGCTGAGCTGGAAATCGTAGATGTATGGGAGAATCACTGACAGACGATCAGTACAACATCGACAAACCTCGACCGAATATCTTACTGCCACGGCGTGTCGCGTTGTCGTGATGCGCTCGAAATCACATGTAATGTCCGGGAGATATCTTCAAGTCAGAGATTTGTGAGTTTTTTCATAAGAGATGTCGATGACCGTCGCACAGCGTCGCATACATGCCTGCCTGGATGCATTCATTCAAGCCCTTGGCCAAGTTAGCCGCCATTTTGGTAAGCTGTGTGTTTAGAGTGAATTGGAAATGAGGGCAGCCTGTTAGTTTAGACTTGACAAACTACTTGCTACCGATTTATTGTGGATCCGCCTAAATTATTTTTAAGTCAAAAATACGAATTCTTTTCCAACTGCGGCCTAGAAGGGTATGGTAGCAGGTTATTTACAGCAAAACACACTTTTTTTCTCCGTATATTACTCATTTTTCACGCAAGAGAATAACCTTAATATTAATGCTTTCCTATTTTATTATCTTTTAAATAATTTGCTTTTTTCCTGATTAAAAATCTAAGATTTGCAACCAGAAATGTCCACCTACGGATTGTTTGACTAAACTTTAATACACCTGCGAATTTCATGGGCTGGAACCACCGCCTTTGATCACAACTTCATAATTTCCTCTGAGTTTTGAAAGGGAAGCGAAAAACCCTCTCTGCTCATTCTATCCTTTTACTTGGCTTTATTTTACCTTTTGCCTAAGTTAAACATTGTTTACGATTAAATTCTTATCGCTTCCGGTTGCACAATCTCATCTCTAACTTATTAAGTCTTTTAGGTCTCTTGACTTCGCAAAGTTGTTACAGTTATGGAACATTAGGCTACCTCAATCGGCGGATTTAAAAAGCCTACACAAATCTACGTCTTTTGGGCTTTTAAAGCCCCATCTTTTAGAAAGACCAGACTCAGCTTTGTAGGCTTACGCATGTAATTCATTAGTACGTACTCTAAAGAGGTGATAGGATGGGAGGCGGTGGCAACAGACGTAACACCACGGCATTTAGGCGTTGACTAAAACCTACTGAAGCTGAAGAGCTTGAGTGCTTTTTTGTAGCCCTCTTCTCCATCGACTATGGTATCACATACGATGATTTAAGTGAAAAGATTATTAACGAATCAGGTGGGGTGGTCGTGCTAGGATTTGCCATCAAGGCAAGAGGTACTTTGATATCGTTCAAATTGTATATAGTATTGAAGGGTTTTGCTGTGAACGAGTTTGATTGGCAAACATGGAATCACGTACCTAGAAGAAGGTTAGCTCAGAAACCATCTATTCCACCTTGCCACCTGAAGCAATCAAAAGGAGTAGGAGGTAATCAGGGGTTCGAGGGATTCATGCTAGCTCCATAAGGGATCATTTTTTATCCTCCGAATTTAAAGTAGCTTCAGCTGTTAATTACTACTGTGCTTTTTAAGCGCACTCAATGTGCTCAACCCCAGTACCAACGAAGGGGTTAATCAAATTCGCCTTCTTGTCAAACTCGGGGAGTGCAAACTTCGTGATTCCAACCCATTTAACTACGTAAAAAAGTAGGTGCATTAGTCCACCTCGTTTTGCTGCTTATAGACAAATAATTTAGGCTGCCTTTTTTGTAAAGGAAGGTTAAAATGTAAAACGGTTAATTGCAAAGTCTTAAAAAATGGGAGGAAGAGGAGGAAGAAATGAATGTGAGTGCCTAAACCGCCACTGCTGACATCGCCTTGCATTCATTTAGGAGATCTATAAGTAGAAGGGCTATGAATCGCGTTTTCTGTATATGGATTTGATTAGTTTAAAGGCCTCCTACCTCAAATCCTAGTCTATGAGTTTGTCTGTAAGGTTGTGCGTTGTTCTTTTAATCTTTTACTCATTCAAATGTTTATTTTAACACCGTGACAGCAGGAAGATGGTAAAGTTAGGAAGATAACAGAGCCACCTTGTATCTCTGTCTAGACTCAATGAGTTTGGAATGTCATCTTCAGCGAAACATAGGACTACTTCTAGCCCAAGTATATTGGGTAAAATTTATCCTTCTCCTTTTGCCTTAAATGCCTCCGAGTTCTTACTCCACAGTGCTTCAATTCTCCAACGTTGGAATAGTCGGCATGGCAGCACCTTCTCTAACCCACTGATCCGGCATCACCAGCTATGTATTTCGAAAAAAAATGTAAATTTTTGCAAGGAAATTCTTCAGTGATTCACATACCCGCCCTTTGGTATATTCTTAGCTTGGAGAGAAAGTAGCGTTTTCTACCCCAGGTCCATCTGGTAGACCTGCAGATGTTGGTGGTGTAGAAACAGATGCATCGAAATCTTCAAATTGTATTCAAAGAAGGCGCAACCTCTTAAATTTAAAAGTTTTAGAGTTTGTTTTTGGAATTCGGGGATGGGAAGTATGACAAAGTCGACTGAAATTAAGTTTTATTGTAAAGGAGAGTAATGGTTCTTAGATTGGAGCACCCATTGAGGTAGTGAAAAGTCCCAAGTCAGGAAGCAAACAACATGAAAAAAAGTAAAAAAATGGAAGACCAATTAAATTTACTATCGTCAGTTCTTCCATGGTACTTGCGTAAAATGGAGTTAAGTGTAAGCAAATTAGTCCATTCCTCACATCCAGTTGGATTTTGCATTACTGGAGGCCATTTCTGATACCTTCCTCCTGAGAGGGAATTCGATCTCCAGTAGGAACAAATGGAATTATTCAACTTTCTAGGGAATTCGGGGTCCATCTTGGCCTGGTCCAATGTT